GCCCCCCTGAAACCCCCCTACTCTTGGGGCCAAAACCGGCGAATAACAATTGTGGGGTGGGAACTACCGAAAAAGCGCCGCTAGATCTAGATCTACATCTACATCCTGTCATAACTGACTCAACTTTGAAGAGTTCTCTGCAACACCATGATACGAAGTGATTGAAAGTGTCCCCCTCGCTCATGCTTGCAGTTTTCAAAACAGGCTAGAATCTAGATCTAGATCTAGGTCTAGATAGTTGATCTGGAGAGGTCTATTTATCCAATGTACTTAATTAAACTAACATGAGTGACTGCCCCTCCCCCTCTCGCTCCTCCTTCTTTCTCTCTCTCTCTCTCTCTCTCTTTCCTTCTCTCTACCCCCCCCCCCCCCTCTCTCTCTCCCTTCCCTCCGCCCCTCTCTCTCTCATTTCTCTCTCTATTTTATTGATGGTGTCTGTGTAACTGTAAGAAATAAGTAGGCTACTTTTTGTTTGTTTTAAAACCACCATTCCACGGTTGATCTGCTACTCAACACTCAACAAAATGTTTTAGTTATTATGTATATAATATTATTACATTATATTTAAATTGTCTGTCTCGTCTCTGTTATTCTCTCAAAAACACCACTGCGCAGTAGCCTCTATACAGTCTCTTAAATATCCTCTTTTTTCCCCCACTCAAGACCAAACCCCTCGAATCAAGATTTCTAATGAAGATATGGCATCTCGTGGCCGGACTTACTCAAAACAAGCTGGTGGCCAGACATCCAAACAGTCTTTATTTGACAAGCTGATGGAGAGAGGTAAGGCCGGGTTATCTAACGATATAGTTATGATGCTTCTTACAGGACTGCTACCACTTATATAATACCTTGAAGTTATGATAGAACCCTGGCAACTTGACAGGATAATCGTAAAATGGCCACCAAAAATAGATAAGTTATTGTGACACCACCATAGACTCATAAAGAGGGTCACTGTTGCTTGCTATGATGAGAAAATGTTTTGTGTGAAGTGTTTATTTAATTAACTCAAGGTAGTATCTTGTCTGTTTGTTTGTATTTTATCACAAAGTATGCTTTTTGGGGAAACCAAGAATGTTTTTAAGACATGTTTTAAGGTCTGCTGGAGTAATAGCCACTGAAAAGTTTATGGAGCATTATATCTGAGCATGCTAATGTTTGAGCTGGGGGGGGGGGGGTATAAGTGTTTTACGGCGCTCGCAACTGCACAAGGTCATATATGAGAGCGCGGGACACACCTAATATTTTCAGTTGGTGGGAAATTTTGAATTTTGCCTGTGTGGCGGCCGAAGCCTACTCTTATCGATTTTAGACCACCAAGGGATCTTTATCGTGCGCAACTTGCTCACGGGCCCTCCCGAGATTTTTCGCCCTTGTCCGAGAACGCTAGGTCTAGATCTTTCCTACCTGAAGATCAGGGGTGTGGCAGAAAGACAGCAGCAAGGAGGAGCCAAGGAGTAACTGTAGAAAGGCTGCAGAAAGAGTCAGGAGCCCAGAGGAGGGGGCAAAGGAGGTGAGGGGGTGGGGGCAGAAAGCAGACGACAGAGCATTGCTGGAGAGCAGGAAAGGAGGTGAAAGAAGACAATTTTAGAAAAGAAAATTTTTCGGTCACTACCCGGATTCGAACCCGGGACCTTTGAATGAGAGGCCAACACCTTAACCTCTAGGCCACGAGAGCCCCTGCGCTGGGTTTGCATCGCTGGTGACTTGTATGAAAAGTCTATGATGTTCAAATTATGGCTTTTTATTTATTTATTTTTTGTTTTTGTTTCAGATCACAAGAGATCAAATTTTGAAACTGATTCTGTGGCAAACAAGAATCCAAAGAAGACTAAGAAAAGGTTTGGCCACTCAATATGGTCAGCAAGCTCTTCAACTTTACTCAGCCCAGAAAGCCAAATTTTTCAGAGTAAAAAAAAAAATGTGGTTTCGATTTTTTAACAATTAATTGTACCTTCATTTTATGCTTTTTCTTGCTTTTTTTTTTTCAACATTTAGAATTTGAAATTTGGCATAATGTTTCTGGAGCACATGCAATCAATACCACATATTAAGAATCTGCTATGTATTTTTTTAAAATAGAAATTTGGGGCTTAGTACATTTCAACAGATGGCCGACAATACCTTTATCTTTGGCAATACTGGTAAAGGTTACTTATCTGAAAACACCTACATCTACAACACAAAAATAAACTTTCTGCTTTTATTTTGATTTAATACGATGTATTTGCTGCTTTATGAATTAATACAAATAGAAAGAAGGTCTTTTGAAGTTATTAATTGCTCTCTACCAATTCACACCTCCTTCCTCTGTGTCTACTTATTTCAAGTACAAAATACTTACACCTACAAGCCATTTCGTGTTGTATCTGATTTCCTGCGTAAACGGATTGTTTCAAGTAAATATTCTTACTGGTCCTAACAAGGGAAAAAAAAACGCCAACCACCCATGGATTGTCTGTGCAGGTGTTGGAAATTAGAAATTATCGAGAGACTCACCTCTTCTTATTTCTCCCTGTTCCGCTTGTAAAATCAGGATCCCAAAGAAGCAACAGAAGGCTGGAGGCGGTGTGAAGAACCAATCCAACGACACCTCAGATGGCAGTTCAGTCCAGTTGTTTTTGGACGTCTCTTGGAAACAGAAAAAGGTGTAGTTGATCTTTCATTGTAATTATTTTGTCGTTCTTGTCTATTGAAACATTTTTTGGGGGAGGGGAGGGGGGGGGGGATGACATCCCGACTTCTCGGAGTTAACTCTAGCAACAACCCTGTCAAAGTTTTTATGTATATTCTTGCTTTAGTTTCGATCTTTGAGTTTGCATATGTACAACAATTAATGGATTTGTAATTTCACTGCATTAATAAACCGTTCTTGAAAAATATATACGTCCCAGTTTAAAAGTTTTCTATTTGTGCCAAACTGTACCACCCATCTGACAGAGAGATTATGGTTTGGGTTTTTTTGGGGGGTTTTTAAAAATTGGCAGCTATTGTATACGGTATTGTTTGTTTCTGTTTTCTGCCGGGACAGAATAATAATAATAATTGCTTTTATATAGCGCATATCCTTGCTCAAGAGCATGCTCTATGCGCTTTACAACTATTATTACCCCAGCAGACCCTCTGAGAACACTCAGAAACATTCTCGGCTTCCGCGGAAGCATACAGCCTTGCCTCTGTTCTTGTTCACTTTGGTAACTTCCCCTTCAATTAAACAGCAGACAAGATCAAGGGCCAAGCCCTCCACTGGAGATGGTCACAGCAAAACTAGAGGTAACAATGTTCCAAGACCCCAGAAGCGAGAATCGTACAGCACCGTTGATGAAGACGGGAAAAGTGACGAAGCCACCAGCTCGACCAGTAGCTTGGGTCTGATGATTGAAGGGGAAGTTGCCAATGTGAACAAGAACAGAGGCAAGGCTGAGGCAGGAGTTGCGGAAACGGAAGGGAAGCGGGCGCGTTTGTCGTCTCCTCTTCTGCTACCTGTCAGTGGATTTTCACGATCGGGGAATGCTGAGTGTAAAGATGTGAGTAAGACGGACAGCCTTGAAATTCCAAGGAGAGAAGCAGGTGAGAGACTCATTCATTTCATTTACCTCAGTGTTGTCGCTATTAAAGAAATATGACACCCCCAATCAGGGCTCTGCTACTGACTGAAGTGTCTTTAGGCCATTCCTAAAGGGGGGGATATTAACATGTTCTTATGTACAGTAGAATTGTAAATGGGCTGATTTATCAATGTCATGCTCTTACTGTGCCGGAACAACATAGGGGGAACTGCTGCCTTTTCTGTCCTTGTCCTTACCCTCTCCATTTTTCCTCTACTTCTTTTGTATGTTTGTCACTCTCTTGTGAACTGCTATTTCCGGGGTGCCTTGATAGTTGAAGCAGACTTTGTGCTGTTGAGGCTAGAGAGGTGAGCAGAATAAGCCTGATTCCCCGTTTAGACTTCTCTGTTGACATCCACCTCGTGATTCTAATATGACCGTATGCAGTTGCGAGCGCTGTAAAACCTTACTAAAACTAAAAAAAGAAATCTTAAAGGAGGGGGGGGAATATATCCTGTACTATGAAAAAAAGTGATAACGTTGAGAATCCCTTACTTTGTTTTGATAAAGTCAGCGTGCCGGCAGATGGCATGTGTGTGATAAAGTGCTCTTTGACAGTTTGATGAAGGAAAAAAACTGCATCTCGACACACCTCACAGAAAATACGGCGTGCGCGGTTTGTTGAAACTCCAACATACGACATATTGTGTGTTACGACACGGTGGAATCAGGCGCTCCTCAATTTTTGCACATCTGGAACAGTCGTTGGTACACATCTTAAAGCTTGTTCCTTTGACTATGTTTCTATGAAAATTATACACATCTATCTTAATTAGAAGTTGAGATATTTGTGATTGAATGAGGTTAGGGATTCCAGGTTCTAGAGGTAAAATTAGCGAGAAAATGGCCCTCAAAGTTTGTTGATTTCCAAAGCTTGAGAATATTTGGAAGCTGAAAATTTACATTTGTTGAGTGTTTAATCAATGTTTTTCAGCAAAATCCACATAAAAATATCTTTTTAAATGGATATAAAAGTTATTGAGCAAAAGAACAAATTTGAACAAAAAATTGTCAAACTGGCGAAAAAATGCCGAAATCTTGGATTTGATTAGTTTGCCGAGCGCCTGATTTGACCAGGATGCCTCACATATAACATGACAAGACCTCACACGAGGAAGTACGTGGGGAATCAATCCAATGACCTTCAGGGACAGAAAGTGCACGGCTGCTACCTGAGGTCTGGCTGTCATTCTGACTGATTTATCGATTTCTTTTTGTGTTCATTTACCAATTTCTTTGTGGGTGGTTGGCGGGTGCTCTGGTGTGTTATTGTGCTCTTTCTTTCCTATCAAACACCTATCGTCATGTGGGTGGTTGGCGGGTCCTCTGGTGTGGTTTACTCCTTCTTTCCTATCAAACATCTATCGTGTTTATCTCCCCTTCTTCTTTTTGTGTTTGTTACCCCCTCGTAACACCTCTAAATTCGGCATTTACACGACCTTATTGTGTTGCAAGTGCCTTAAAACTCTTACTAAAACTAAAACATCTATCATCCTTTTCTCTCCTTCTTTCATACTTTGTATGCTACTCTCAATCAACACCTCTAATCTTCAGCACTTATATGACTTGATTGCATTGCAAATGCCGTAAAACTTATACATACTATACTAAAACTAAAAACCGGTTTTCTTTCGTAGGATGCGTTTCCCGAGACTGGGCGGTGCTGTCCGCGTCTGACCTTGTGACCCTCGCTGCCAGCGACGGCGACTCCGCGATGCGGAAGAGGACAGAGAGCCTCGGGTCCACAGAGAAGGAGACTTCCTGGGTCACGGCCAGCTGTGAGTGGCTGATTCACCTTTGGTATATCGCTCAACCTGTCCTACTGAGGGCTACCTTTGGTATACCTCTCAACCTGTCCTACTGAGGGCTACCTTTGGTATACCTCTCACCCTGTCCTACTGAGGGCTACCTTTGGTATACCTCTCAACCTGTCCTACTGAGGGCTACCTTTGGTATACCGCTCAACCTGTCCTACTGAGGGCTACCTTTGGTATACCGCTCAACCTGTCCTACTGAGGGCTACCTTTGGTATACCTCTCAACCTGTCCTACTGAGGGCTACCTTTGGTATACAGCTCAACCTGTCCTACTGAGGGCTACCTTTGGTATACCGCTCATCCTGTCCTACTGAGGGCTACCTTTAAGGGTTACCTTTGGTGTACCTCTCAACCTGTCCTACTGAGGGCTACCTTTGGTATACCGCTCAACCTGTCCTACTGAGGTTTACCTTTGATATACCTCTCACCCTGTCCTACTGAGGGCTACCTTTGGTATACCTCTCAACCTGTCCTACTGAGCGCTACTTTTAAGGGCTACCTTTGGTATACCTCTCAACCTGTCCTACTGAGGGCTACCTTTGGTATACCGCTCAACCTGTCCTACTGAGGGCTATCTTTGGTATACCGCTCAACCTGTCCTACTGAGGGCTACCTTTGGTATACCTCTCAACCTGTCCTACTGAGGGCTACCTTTGGTATACCGCTCAACCTGTCCTACTGAAGGCTACCTTTAAGGGTTACCTTTGGTGTACCTCTCAACCTGTCCTACTGAGGGCTACCTTTGGTATACCTCTCAACCTGTCCTACTGAGGGCTACCTTTGATATACCTCTCAACCTGTCCTACTGAGGGCTACCTTTGGTATACCTCTCAACCTGTCCTACTGAGGGCTACCTTTGGTATACCTCTCAACCTGTCCTACTGAGGGCTACCTTTGGTATACCTCTCAACCTGTCCTACTGAGGGCTACCTTTGGTATACCTCTCAACCTGTCCTACTGAGGGCTACCTTTGGTATACCGCTCAACCTGTCCTACTGAGGTTTACCTTTGATATACCTCTCAACCTGTCCTACTGAGGGCTACCTTTGGTATACCTCTCAACCTGTCCTACTGAGGGCTACCTTTGGTATACCTCTCAACCTGTCCTACTGGGGGCTACCTTTGGTATACCGCTCATCCTGCTCTACTAAGGGCTACATGTAGAAGACAATCACCTGTACAAACAACCATTTCTCCCCCCCACCCCCGCCAACATTTGAAATTAAATTTATAATGACACTGTGTAAGTGTAAGAGTATAAGACAGCTGTTTTTTTCTCTCAACAAAACTGGGTGGCTTAGCTATTGGAAACATTTTTCTGAAGGTTTGTGTAGGAACAGGCAATTGGATTTCTTTTAAGTTTATTTGACAAATTTACTACTTTTACCGTTTTCTCCAAGTTGGAACTAGTTTTCATTTTTTTTCTTGTAAGTCACTCAGCTCTAGACCTACACTCCGGATTGTCAGCTTTCCAGAGATTTTTTCCACTTTTTAAAAAATAGAAAAAAATAGAAAAAAATACAGTAGCCAACTAAAATTTAATGTATGCTACACAAATTTGTACACATTTTATTCAAATCTTTATTTGTGTGCATTGAAAATTTGTAAGCAAAATATGTCAAAGTTCTTATGCAATGCTCCGTGGAAAAAGGTATATATATACAGCATAAAAAAAGTAAACAAAAAGCGAAGAAAGGAAGTGCGTTCAAATTTGGCGCGCCACTCATATGGTTCGTGAATATAGCTTTTTTTGTTCTAAATTTGGGCTTGCACTTCTGGTCATAGTCTGTTCCAAATGAAAAACGGCTACTCTTCCAGTTAGGCTACAATCTGCTTTCAACAAAAGTAGTGTTTTCGGTTCCGAGAGCAAAATTTTCCATACACCGATATTGTTGGTGTTAGGGCTGGGTGAGTTAATGCTGTTTAGGTAATTGATTATTATCCAGAAGTATTTGCTTACTTTTCTGTTCTTTGATTCACCCTCTTGAGTTTACAGAGAATATGAAAGGTGCTTACAGAAGACTGATATTTGTTTGTTGGAAATTATTTATACCTGTGTTTGTTTCTGGTTCTTTCATCTTCCAATAAGAGACATTTTGCCTTCCCTTTCCTTGTGGGTGGTTGGCGGGTGCTCTTGTGTGGTTTGCTCCTTCCTTCCTATAAAAAATATATCTTCTTTATCTCCCTTCCTTCTTTTTTTGTGTTTGTTACTCCCTTGTAACACCTCTAATCTTCGGCACTTATATATATGACCTTATTGTGTCACATGTGCCGTAAAACTCTTACTAAAACTAAGCTTCCCTTTCGTTTTTCCAAATAATGTCAGCGAGCCAGATGAATTGGAGCAACTCCGGAGAGATGTGGTACAAAACGGGAAGCTCCTCGTCCCGGTACACCTACTCCGACATATCGGCCTACACTTTTGGCACAGGTGGGTACACCTACTCCGACATATCGGCCTACACTTTTGGCACAGATGAGTTCTAGCAGCACTTGTTCACTCTCTGTCTTAGTGTGTGTTTGGTAGAGTTCAACCAGATATGTACTGGCACAATTAGTGGAAAGACCCTGGTGACATTTTGGAGAGAGCAACGGAGCATCAATGGACATGTCCGGAGTGCAGGGATGTTGCTTCCTGAAACAATGAACAGTAAACAATGGTAGAGTTTTACGGCACTTGCAATGCACACACGACTGCTCCCAACTCAAAAGATGCACCAAGTTCCCTGAGTAGAAGAGAACAAGTCACGATCTTTCACCTGCGAACACAACACATCCCACTGAATTCCTACCTAAATAGGAACCGCAAGGATACCCCACCCGACTGCCCGTTATGCGACTGCCAGGATGAAACAGTACCACACCACCTCTTTACCCGCCCTGCACTTAGCGACCTGCGTAGCACCTACCTACCTGCCACCCCAGATATCGGAAATACTCTATACAGCAACAGAACTCAGCTGATAATAACCTGTCAATTCTTTGCCATATAATTGGACAGGCCAAAGGGCTAGAACTCAAATGGCCGCTGGATCGGAAAAGTAAAGTACGGCACTTGCAATACAAGTGTAAGTAATATAACACTGTCCCCGTGGTTTTACGCCAAAAAAATTATGAAATTATGCAAACTGAGCCCAAAAATGTGAAATTATGCGATTCTGTTAATTTTAACAAAGAGTGATGAAGGAAAATAATCAGACATTATGCAAAAAATGATCAAATTTTGCTAAATTATTTGGGGTGCATAAAATCTTAAAGTCACAAAATCACGGGGACAGTCATAAGTGCTGACGTTTAGAAGTGTTGCTGTTAGAGAATGATGAACAAAGAAATCTTAGGCCTATCTTATCTCATCTTGTCTTGTCTTGTCTTATCTCATCTTATCTTATCTCATGTCATCTTATCCAATCTTATCTTATCTCGTCTCATCTTATCTTATCTCATCGTATCTTATCTCGTCTTATAATCTCATCTTATCCAATCTTATCTTATCTCATGTCATCTTATCCAATCTTACCTTATTTCATCTTATCTCATCTGATCTTATCTTATCTTATCTGGTCTGATGTGCGGTTCAGAGAGCAGCGCTCCGTCTACTGCGGTCAGCTCCAGCACCCCTGTGGTCAAGCCGCTTCAGACTCGCAGGTTCTGCAACTCCACCACCGTGGAGGGCCGAGAGAGCATCGGGCGTGTGCAGTTCCCTCCCTTCCTGTCTCCCGTGCTGCCGGACGGAGGTAAGCTAGAGCAGATTGCATGTTGGTGGTGTAGTGGTTAGGTTCTCGGACTTGCAGCCGTTAAGGTTGTGGGTTCGAATCCTGTGAGAAGCTCAATGTCGTGTACTAAAGAAAGGCACTTTACGCAGAATTTCCCTCCCTTCACCCAGGTGGGAATGGGTACCGGGTTATAGACGGCAAAAGATCTTGTAGCTTTGTTTGTGTTTGAGTGCTTAACTCACTTCAGACGGATCACACAACAGTTGCGTGACCCCCGCCGCGACGCTCGCGACGGGTCTCACAAGCCCTGCGTGACCAACTTTGGAATTTTTTTTTCGCTCTACAAATCACGCACGGATCGCGAGACCCGCCTCGTACCCTTGTTTGGCCAAGCCTGAGCTACTTAGACTTCGTTTCGTATCTCTGGGACCCGTAGTTTTTAAGTTATTGAAGGTGAAGGACAGTGACCCCAACTGGGGTTGAACAGACCGGAACTCGCGCTTTGTTTTTTTCTATACAGCTCATAGTAATCCGACAGTCGCGTCGTAGTAACGGTCGAAGAAGTCGCATGAACAAGAATCACATAATTTCGCCGTTTTCTATACACTTCTGTACGTTTTACTAGTTTTAGTGTCTCAGAATATGATGTTTCTAATAGTTAGGATCCTGGATATGTACCCAAACACGGCCCGAGTCGTAGTTCTAGGGCTAGATCTAGCACTAGTACCGGTGTTGTTTTTCGCGCAACGAAATCACAATGTCGTGCCGTACATCTGTCTCATGTAATTCAGTGTATGGGTCTGAATCAATGCACAGACCAGCTTTTATATTTTCACCAAACACTCGCACATGTATACAAATCAAACCAGAACACTTTGAACTTTTATTTTTGTTGTTGCAGTGAATTTCATTCTACTTGTCACGTCTCTGGAAATTTTTCGGAAAATCAAATTCATTCCAATTTTTAAAAAATCATACAAATTAAAATATTACACTTACACAACTTTAGTTTTTTGTATTAGATTAAGCTTGAATGTTACTTTACTGTGTCAAAAAATAATGACAATAGGGTAATTCTGAGAGTTGTGGTGATTTATTGAAATACCCCCAAAAACGCCAGTCTTCAACGCTTGTGACTGGTGAAAGGGCCCAGTCGCAAGTGAGTTAATCAGGTACTCATACTGGGTGCCTCCTGCAAAGCTGAGAATGTTTCTGAGTGATCTTGGGTCTGCTGGGGTCATCTGTCTCCGCGGTTTTATGCCCCCCGCATAATTTAGCAAAATTTGATTATTTTTTGCATAATTTCTGATTCCTTTATCATTCTTAGTTAAAACTAACAGAATCGCATGATTTCTTTTGAAGGAGGTGGGGGATGCTCGGTGGCAGAGAGAAAATTAGAGAGAAAATAGCTGCCAAAGTTTGGTGACTTTCAGAGCTTGAGTGTCCTTGGACCCTGCAAATGGTTGCAGTTTTTGTGCCTTCGATCAAAGTTTTCAGTAAAATCTACTCAGAAAAGTGTTTTTTAATTAACAAAAACAATGTGGACCCCCCAAAAAATACATTTTTTAAAAATGCCAAGCTGCCAGAAAAATGTCGGTTTCTTTGATTTCATCATTTTGACAAGCACCTGATTCCACCACATGGTGACTCATAGGGTTTTTGAGAGCATCTAAGCAGAGGAATGATTTTTTTAACTATGATTGCCAGTGTTTGCCTCTGATTGGACACTGGAAAAAGGAAGAAGAAGCTTTCGAACGTGTCAAGTTGGAGTTTCTGCTTTTATTTCCAGGTGCTGAGAATGACGGTCAAAATCTGATGGACGAAGACAATTGTCAGCCAATCAATGAGAACAAGAGCCGGCCAATGGACGAAGACAAGGGTCAGTCGAGGAAGGATATCACCGCGGGAATTGAGCTTTGTCCGCAGGTATGTATTTTCTCCGTCTGTGTCTGCTCCCCCTCCCCCCCCCCCCCCTCAGGGCAGTGCTACTGACAGAAGTGTCTTTAGGAAATTCCCAAAGGGGGGTATTAACTAACATGTTATGAACAGTACAGTTGTAAAGGGCTGATTTATCAATGTCATGCTCATACAGTGCCGGAAAAACATAGGGGGAACTGCTGCTTTTTCTTTCCTCATTCTTACTATCGTCATTTTCCTCTACTTCTTTTGTATGTTTGTCGCTCTCTTGTGATCTGCTATTTCCGGGGTGCCTTGATAGTCAAAGCAGACTTTGTGCTGTTGAGGCTAGAGAGGTGAGCAGAGTAAGTCTGATTCTCCGTTTGGACTTCTCTGTTGACATCCACCCCTTGGCGCTCATATGACCTTATTCTGAACATGTGGGCGCCGTAACACCTTACTAAAGCAATGTTGGGAGTCCCTCTATTGGGATTGGACAAGTTGGTAATCCTCGAATCCTACGCTGAAGACTCCATTGTCATTGTCCCTGAAAATATTTTACGCCTCCATCCATACATTTTGTCAAAGAAAGTGTTGGATTGGAATCCACAGGGTAAAAGATCAAGGGGAGGGCCACGCGGAAACTGAAAAAGAATCACAGAAATTTACTGAATGTAATGTTGAGGCATCACACCAATACACCAAAGACTCCTGTTGTTACGTGTATGCTCCAGCTGTTACGTGTATGGGTTAATGCTTTTTCTATTTCTGTGTAATATGTGTGGCTTATTTTTCCATGTTTGCTTAGTTTTAGGTCAATTCTGTATGACAGTTGTAACTTTATAGGCCACATAATTACCTCATATTAAACTATTTTCTGCTTTAGTACATTTTACTCGTAACTTACCAACGTTTGGTACCAAATCTTTCCTTTCGAACATCTATTGCCTTGATCTCTCCTCCTTTTTACGTTTGTTGCTCTCTTGTGACATCTCTAATCTTCGGCACTTGTATGACCCTATTGTGCTAGCAAATGCCGTAAAACTCCTAGTAAAGCTAAAATTGAAATCATGACTTGGGACTGAAAACAGACACCTAATAAAAAGCAAGTATTTTCTGCTTTGGGCCCAGGTTCCCCACAGACGTCCGGCCAAAATGAAAGAGAGCACGCCCAAGGACACGTTCCTCCCAGTGTCTGTGAGTGGGAACTACGACACCACGCTACTTTAGAATCACAAAGTTGTAGCCCACATTTTTTTACCGTTTTGTGCTACTGAGACCATGAGGTCCGACACCAAAATTTCATGTTCTGTCTGCTCTATCAAAATTGTCAGATTATCAGAGTCTTTATCAAGATATTCAAAGAATTACATTAGAAAAAGCTTGACTCGTTGTGAAACTCAAAATTTTTTAATGATTCAAATTTCACACAATTAGGTAATTTTATGCAGTGCCACTTTTTAATATAATGTGCTTTAACCCCTTCAATGCCGCAGATAAATGTGAGGCAGCGTGGTGGAATCAGGCTCTCGTCAATTTTTGGGCATGTAGAGTAATTGGTATCATCTTAACTCACTTCAGACGGGTCACACAACAGTTGCGTGACCCCCGCCGCGACGCTCGCGACGGGTCTCACAAGCCCTGCGTGACCAACTTTGGAATTTTTTTTTCGCTCTACAAATCACGCACGGATCGCGAGACCCGCCTCGTACCCTTGTTTGGCCAAGCCTGAGCTACTTAGACTTCGTTTCGTATCTCTGGGGCCGGTAGTTTTTAAGTTATTGAAGGTGAAGGACAGTGACCCCAACTGGGGTTGAACAGACCGGAACTCGCGCTTTGTTTTTTTCTATACAGCTCATAGTAATCCGACAGTCGCGTCGTAGTAACGGTCGAAGAAGTCGCATGAACAAGAATCACATAATTTCGCCGTTTTCTATACACTTCTGTACGTTTTACTAGTTCTAGTGTCTCAGAATATGATGAGTTTAATGGTTAGGATCCTGGATATGTACCCAAACACGGCCCGAGTCGTAGTTCTAGGGCTAGATCTAGCACTAGTACCGGTGTTGTTTTTCGCGCAACGAAATCACAACGTGGTGCCGTTCATATGTCTCATGTAATTCAGTGTATGGGTCTGAATCAATGCACAGACCAGCTTTTATATTTTCACCAAACACTCGCACATGTATACAAATCAAACCAGAACACTTTGAACTTTTATTTTTGTTGTTGCAGTGAATTTCATTCTACTTGTCACGTCTCTGGAAATTTTTCGGAAAATCAAATTCATGCCAATTTTTAAAAAATCATACAAATTAAAGTATTAGACTTAGACAACTTTAGTTTTTTGTATTAAATTAAGCTTGAATGTTACTTTACTGTGTCAAAAAATGATTACAATAGGGTAATTCTGAGAGTTGTGGTGATTTATTGGAATACCCCCAAAAACGCCAGTCTTCAACGCTTGTGACTGGTGAAAGGGCCCAGTTCAAGTGAGTTAAAGCTTGTTTACTTGTCTTTAAATTGATGAAAAAAATATCCCTTTATCTTGAATACAAGTCGAGATATTTGCGAAAGAAGGAGGTGGGGTTCACCTATTTTCAGAGATAAAATTAGTGAGAAAATGGCCGCCAAAGATTAGTTATTTCCTTAGCTAAAGAGTCCGTGGTAACTAAAAATTTACGTTTTTTTACCTTTAATCACAGTTTTTCAGAAAAATCCACACATAAATGAGTTCTTTAATGGGTGTTGAGCCAAAAAACAAAAATTAGATAAATAAACATTCACAAATCAGCAGAAAATTGCAAGTTTTTTCACTTTGATTATTTTGACGAGAGCCTGGATTCCACCACGCTGCCTCACAAATAGGCCCCTGCATATATTGTACATTAAACCACATTTCTAGTTGTATAATTTTGGGGGAATTTCATGGAGAGATAGATGGAGGAAAGTTGGAGTTATTAACATGATTCCAAAAACAACATAAGCAACACGTTGTATTCGAGTAATGATAAACTGAGACCCAAAAAAGGGAAATGTACGTGTTGTGTGAGTGTTTGCGGGTAAAGAAGAAGAGACAAGAGGCTTTTCCCACCTTATACAACGCTCGTACATCTATTATCTATTTGTGGTGGCCGAATTTTGCTGTTCAAAAGGCTTTTTAATGGCTGCATCGATCGACATGCAATTTTCGCAAAAAAATTCTTTAAAATATTCTCCAGAGCATGGCGCCCTTGGTTTTTTCACTTTTGTGAGTTTTGCTGCAAAAAACTAAATTTCTTTATTTCGCCGATCGCTTTTGTCTCTGTAATTTTAGTAAACCCGGAAGTGATATTTCGCGAGGCGCATTTTGTTTTGAGAGTATAGATCTAGACCTAATTTTTTGCATCTCTCAAGATTTATTGTCCCATTCCAGTAGAGTGTAAATATAGTAGGCCAATGACTTTTAGTTGATGTTAAAGCACCAATCATTCCTTTCATCGAAAGGGGGCCCAGCTAGTTCCATATAATATACATGTCAGCCCATCTGTGTTTTCTTCCAGTAAATCATTTTTGTATGGTTGATGTGTTTGATCTAGATCTAATCTTCTCTTCGGAGCTAAAATCTGAATCTGACGTTTTCAAAATGGGGGGAAAATGGAGGTAAACAGAAAGGGAAGGTAGGTACCCCAATAATAATTACAAGATTTTAGCAGTAACTTCCCTTTTATAACTGGTATCAAAACAACCTCTGTCATAGTCACGTACGTTCTTTGGGCTATAGGCGCAATGCTACATGGTTCAGGCCCGTAAATTCTACGGGCGTAGCAGCGAAAAGGTTAAGATTGTAAAAACTACATTTAGATCTATTTATATTTTGTATTTTTGAAAATGACGACAGACTTTTTAGGTTCACCTTGATGATTTGACCTCTGCTGTGTCGTGTTGTGCTCCAGTTCTCGCTGTCGCCCATCCCTTTGGTCGACCTTGACGAGTCTGTGCTGGGCTGTCGCGAGAGCCGAGAGGTGAACAGCGAGGAGATCATCGTGCCCGCCCTGAGGGAGATCACTGTGCTCAGCGGACACTCGGACAATGATGGACAGGTGGGTGTGCTGGACACGTTTTCACGTATTATAGAATTGTGTGGCATTGTGGGGACATTTAAGGCGTCGGTGGCCCAGTGGTTAGGCTCTCAGACTCGCAGTCGTAAGGTCGGTCGTGGGTTCGAGTACCATCAGGAAGGTCATGGGTTCGAGTACCGTGAGGAAGGTCATGGGTTCGAGTACCGTGAGGAAGGTCATGGGTTCGAGTACCGTCAGGAAGGTCATGGGTTCGAGTACTGTCAGGAAGGTCGTGGGTTCGAGTACTGTCAGGAAGGTCGTGGGTTCGAGTACTGTCAGGAAGGTCGTGGGTTCGAGTACTGTCAGGAAGGTCGTGGGTTCGAGTACTGTCAGGAAGGTCGTGGGTTCGAGTACTGTCAGGAAGGTCGTGGGTTCGAGTCCTGTCAGGAGCCCGACCTTGTGTTCATGGGGAAGACACTTTCCACAGATTTTCCTCGCACCCCCCAGGTGGAAGTGGGTACCTGGTAGGGCTGGGACAACACGGGTAGTTTGATAACCGGGTAATACCCGGGTACCCGACATTTCAGTTATCATATATGGTGTTTCTGTACTACTCTGCCTGCTCGCCATTTCATTTGGGTGTTTTCCCTTCAAACGCTTGAAGAGGCTTGAAGTTGAAGACCCATCAACGTTAATTAAAGGCAGAAAAATGTAAATTTACAGTTTCCAGAGACAGGACTCTCTAGCTTTGGAGGTCACCAAACTATGGCGCCCATTTTCTCTCTAATTTTACTTCTAAGACTTAGTGACCTCTCCTCCTTCAATCTCAAATAACCCCCCGGGGCAGTGCCACTGACTGTAGTGTCTTTAGGCCATTTCCCAAAGGGGGGACATTTCTCGTTCAAGCACAGGAGAATTGTAAATGGGCTGACTCACGTTACGCTCATAACTGTGCCTGATCTACAACAGGGAACTGCTGCTTTTTCTTTCCTAATCCTTACTATTGTCATTTTCCTCTACTTCTTTTGTATGTTTGTCACTCTCTTGTGACCGGCTATTTCCAGGGTGCCTTGAAAGTCGAAGCAGACTTTGTGCTGTTGAAGCTAGAGAGGTGAGCAGTCTAAGTCTGATTCCCTGTAAAGACTTCTCTGTTGACACCCACCCCTTGGCGCTCATATGATGACCTTACGCAGTTGCTAGCGCCGTAAAACCCTCTACTACTACTATTTTATTTTTTTTATTTTTTTAATCTCAAAATTTCAATTTTTATTGAAGACAGAAGGGCCATTTTTTTCATCATAAGCAAGACATGAACAAGCTTTAAGGTGATTCCATTAACTCCATATGCCCAAAAATTGACGAGCGCTTGGTTCCACCGCGCTGTTATATTATAGCTCTATGCTATTTTTATTTGATTGTCTCCCTTTTCCAGGATTTTGAGGCTTGCATCGGTAAAATCTCCAGGAGTTGAAAGGTTTACGTTGAAGCGGAGCCCACTGTAGTAGATGAAATCCTGTGAGGTAAAACATGCGGGATGAGGTGATTAACTTGATGTTTCTCCCTCCCTTTGTGTCTCGTCAGGGGACGGGAGACCGTGCTCATGGGGTCGGAGACGGGGACCAGAACGAGATAGATCTTCACAAGTCTGTGGAATCCCTCAAGTCCATGTTATTTGAGGAACCTATGGAACGACTGAAGAAATCTCTTGGAGGAATCGAGGGAACATCTGGTCTTTGTCGCGTTTCTGTTCCTAGGAAGCGTTCGTCTACCCGCACGTCTGCCGCCGCTCACCAGCCAAGTGTCGCCCAGTCGTCCCCCCTTCCTGCTGGGCACACGAGCTCTCCTCTTCTAGCCCAGAAGTCGGGAGGAGTGGAGGAAACATCCGGTTGTCGTCGTCGCAGTTCGGTTCCCGAGAAAGTGACTGCGGGTCCGTCGTCTGTCGTCGAGTCGAGTGTGGCCACGCCCCCTCCTGCGGTCAACACAAGCCCTCCTCTAGCCGAGAAGAAGTCTTCGGAGGAGGAGCTGGAAGCATCCGATTGTTGTTGTCCTAGTTTGGCTCCAGAGAAGCTTCCAGAAGGACCCCTGTCCGGAGTGGTAGGGTCAGGTGTGGTCACCGCCCCTCCTGCTCATGTGGACGGAAGCTCTCCGCCGGCGCAGAAGTGGATGGAGCAGACAACACCCACAGTGAAGGCAGCTTGCAGGAAGTCTCTGCCACGCGTGTGCTTCATCAACGAGCTGTGCAGGAAGAACGTGGCCGAGAAAAGAACAGGCCGGAGCTGGATCAGGTTGAGGTTCCTTTGACGTGTGACTTACAATACATAGGTACAGTCCAGCACACTTATCATGAGATTTCAGTGACTTACAATACATAGGTACAGTCCAGCACACTTATCATGAGATTTCAGTGACTTACAATACATAGGTACAGTCCAGCACACTCATCATGAGATTTCAGTGACGTGCGACTCACAATACATAGGTACAGTGCAGCACACTCATCTTGAGATTTCAGTGACTTACAATACATAGGTACAGAAGAGTAATGGGGAGATGCAGAAGACTTTTTGTTTTGTACCAATTTGGCTATGTACACTGTAGGCCTACATGGTACACAAATGCAAAGAAATGTCAAAGAGAGATTCAGGACGCCCCCACAGGGCAGTGCTACTCACTCAAGTTGTCTTCAGCTGTCCCCGTGGTTTTATGCACCCCGCATAATTTAGCAAAATTTGATCATTTTTTTCATAATTTCTAATTATTTTCCTTTACTTTATCATTCTTTGTTAAAATTAACAGAATCGCATAATTTCACATTTTTGGGCTCAGTTTGCATAATTTCAGAATTTTTCTTGCCTAAAACAACAGGGACAGCTGTAGGCCATTCCCAAAGGGTGGACATTAACATGTTCTTATGCACAGTAGAATTGTAAATGGGCTGATTGACCAATGTCATAATCATACTGTGCCCGAACAACATAGGGAGAACTGCATTTTACATTTCAGTACATGTGTACCTATTTGTTTCTTTATGGTAATGCTAGATCTAGAAAGTTGTACATTTCAGTATTACAGGGCAGCCTGCTCTCTATAACGACATCGTCAGGACCAGATAAAAATGTCTTTAAAGAGAGTTGTCGTTATAGAGAGTTGTCGTTATTGTCATTATAGAGAGTTGTCGTTATAGAGAGATGTCGTTATAGAGAGTTGTCGTATAGAGAGTTGTCGTTATAGAGAGATGTCGTTATAGAGAGTTGTCGTTATAGAGAGTTGTCGTTATAGAGAGTTGTCGTTATAGAGAGTTGTCGTTATAGAGAGATGTCGTTATAGAGAGATGTCGTTATTGAGAGTTGTCGTTATAGAGAGATGTCGTTATAGAGAGTTGTCGTTATAGAGAGTTGTCGTTATAGAGAGATGTCGTTATAGAGAGATGTCGTTATAGAGAGATGTGGTTATAGAGAGATGTCGTTATTGAGAGTTGTCGTTATAGAGAGTTGTCGTTATAGAGAGATGTCGTTATTGAGAGTTGTCGTTATAGAGAGGAAACCAAAAATATTACTAATGAAATGATATAAAGGGGAAAGTCAAGACCTGGGCACCATGTGGCTATACAGAAAATGCTGTTTTATGGAAGGTCGCAATAGAGAGGCTGCATGTAGTTTCTTTATGGTATGCTAAAAAGCTTTATTTCAGTTTAACATGTAATAGTTTCTGTGGTATGCTAGAAAGTTGTACGTTTCAGTACGTGAATTAGTTTCTCTATAATATACTATGGAATGCAAGAAAGCTGTACATTTCAGTTTCTGTGCTAGAAAGTTGTACATTTCAGTACATGTATTATTAGTTTCTCTATGGAATGCAAGAAAGCAGAGTTAGTTCCTCTGTGTTGTGCTAGACTGTTGTACATTTGAGAGTTAGTTCCTTTGTGTTGTGCTAGACTGCTGTACATTTGAGAGTTAGTTCCTTTGTGTTGTGCTAGACTGTTGTACATTTGAGAGTTAGTTCCTTTGTGTTGTGCCAGACTGTTGTACATTTGAGAGTTAGTTCCTTTGTGTTGTGCCAGACTGTTGTACATTTGAGAGTTAGTTCCTCTGTGTTGTGCCAGACTGTTGTACATTTGAGAGTTAGTTCCTCTGTGTTGTGCTAGACTGTTGTACATTTGAGAGTTAGTTCCTCTGTGTTGTGCTAGACTGTTGTACATTTGAGAGTTAGTTCCTCTGTGTTGTGCTAGACTGTTGTACATTTGAGAGTTAGTTCCTCTGTGTTGTGCTAGACTGTTGTACATTTGAGAGTTAGTTCCTTTGTGTTGTGCTAGACTGTTGTACATTTGAGAGTTAGTTCCTTTGTGTTGTGCTAGACTGTTGTACATTTGAGAGTTAGTTCCTCTGTGTTGTGCTAGACTGTTGTACATTTGAGAGTTAGTTCCTCTGTGTTGTGCTAGACTGTTGTACATTTGAGAGTTAGTTCCTTTGTGTTGTGCTAGACTGTTGTACATTTGAGAGTTAGTTCCTTTGTGTTGTGCTAGACTGTTGTACATTTGAGAGTTAGTTCCTTTGTGTTGTGCTAGACTGTTGTACATTTGAGAGTTAGTTCCTTTGTGTTGTGCTAGACTGTTGTACATTTGAGAGTTAGTTCCTTTGTGTTGTGCTAGACCGTTGTACATCTCACTTTCAGTGTTCGGTTTGTTCCTGTGCTGTGCTAGAAAGGCGATGATGCAATTGGAATTTTCCGCTTTGCCTTTAAGTCTTGTGCAGTGTCTAGAAACATCTGCTCAACTCTAATGTTTGAACGTTCATGCTGCCCAATACATCTGTGATATAATATGACAATGACAATCTTTTTTCATCTCGCAGGGAGAAATTTGTCTTGGTCGTTAACAATAGCAATAGACGTTACAAAAGTTAGACCTAAAGGTGCACTCACGCAAACGCACAACAAGACAGGACATTAGAAATATACATGTCTCACGTGCTGGGACTTCCCACTCCGTAAAACATTCTCTCTCTGTCTCTCTCTCTCTCTGTCTCTCTCTCTCTGTCTCTCTCTCTCCTCTCTGTCTCTCTCTGGCTCTCTCTCTCTGTCTGTCTCTCTCTCTTTCTCTCTCCTCTCTGTCTCTGTCTGTCTGTCTGTCTGTCTGTCTGTCTGTCTGTCTGTCTGTCTCTCTCTCTCTCTCTCTCTCTCTCTCTCTCTCACACACACACACACACAAACTAAATAAGTTGATAAAAAAGGCATTAAGAAAAATTGGTAGAGACCTAAGTAACTTTGAATATCTGCACAAGACAAACGTTCTTAAAAAAGGCGGAAATAATGCTTAGTGACCATAGCCACCCACTGACATCGGAATTTCAACTATCGACCCGCAGTAAACGATACATTTAAAAAAAAGTAAGAACAGACAGAAGAAATTCATTTGTACCAACTGCAGTGAGGTTACTGAACACACAGTGCTACAAATGAAACAGAGAGAGAGAGAGAGAGAGAAAATGAATGTTTTACGGAGCGGGTTGTCCCAGCCCGTGAGACATGTATCTACTTGGCCTAATGTCCTGTCTTGTTGTGCGTTTGCGTGAGTGCACCTTTAAGTCTAACTTTTGTAACGTCTACTGCCAATGCCATTGTAAACGACCAAGACAAATGTCTCCCTGCGAGATGAAGAAAGATTGTCCTTGTCGTTGTCAAACACACATGTGATATAATGATGCCTTCATGTAGTGTTTCAATTGCTGTTGGATGAGCCCCCTGTTTTGTCTACATAATAATGTGATAGAATATACATGTAATCCACCTCCCTGTATCTATGTGATAGAATATACATGTAATCCACCTCCCTGTATCTATGTGATAGAATATACATGTAATCCACCTCCCTGTCCTTCACTCTCTGGTCACCTTACTTGTGGATGTGATACAATCCACTTCCTTTTTCCTTGCCACATTTATAAATTGAAGCTGACAGGTACATGAAATAAAATTTTCTGTTGAAAAACTTGGTTTTTTAGATTTTAATTCTATATATTTTCAGATAAGTTGCTCAGTGGAGATTTTTTTAAAAATGGTTTTAGTTGTCACTGCTGTTGTTTTCCTCACGACCAGCAAATAGTTTTTTATTGTGATAATGTATAGAACTGTGATAAATTTGTGATTGAAAATACAGCAAATAGTAATATAGCTCTTTGTGTATCTAGAATCAATGTAAGGTCCCTTTCTGTAGCTCAAAATCTGCAGTTAAACCTGTGCCGTCGGTACATGTCTGAATTACTGAATAATTTTGGGGGGTTTTTTCTTCATTTATTTCGAGACCCAGACTTTCTTCTTCTGCATATGTATGCATGTAAATGTTTATAAGGAAGCTAAGTTTTCCAAGCACACATTATTTTATACAGTAGAAAAAATATCTATAGATTCTATGATGTTAAAGAGATCTCGTGGCAGACCATCTCATTTCCGTTGATTGTAAAACCTTGCAGAGTAAAGCTGTCTCCGTCGTTTTATGCAAGAAAAATTCTGAAATTATGCAAACTGAGCCCAAAAATGTGAAATTATGCCATTCTGGGGGTTTTTTTAAACGAAGAATGATAAAGGAAAATAATCAGAAATTATGCAAAAAATTTAAATGATCAAATTTTGCTAAATTATTATGCGGGGTGCATAAAACCATGGGGACAGGTAAAGTGATGCCACTCCTGGAGACTAGAGCAAGAATCTAACTAAGGGAATGACAAACAGAAAGCTGCTCAAACCATCTCCAAGTCCTTTGTGCAGATTGCTTCAATCAGTCCCAGTAGTGATGATGAACCCTCTCTCACTCTCTATCCTGTCATTAACCTGTCCCCGTGGTTTTATGCACCCCGCATAATTTAGCAATATTTGATCATTTTTTAAATAATTTCTGATGATTTTCCCTTATAATTCTTTGTTAAAATTAACTGAATCGCATAATTTCACATTTTTGGGCTCAGTTTGCATAATTTCAGAATTTTTCTTGCATAAAACGACGGGGACAGATTAACAACTTGTGTGTTCCTTCTTTCATCAACTGTTGGGTCAAACGGTTTGTAGAGAAGAGGTGGCTTGAAAGTTGAGAATAAAAAAGAGCTATCTTGGCTCTCCAACCTCAAACTGTTGTAGTTGTAGACATGATGATCTTTTCTCCTCTACCTTACGCCACAGTCCCGAGGAATAGTTATCAAAAGGTTCAAGATAAAAAAAAGTCCTCATTCAATGAAGTCTGGGGACTGTACATTCATTGCACGACAGGCCGCCTTTATCTGTCCCGGAGGTTTTATGCACCCCGCATAATATGGCAAAATTTTATCATTTTTTGGCATAATTTCTGATTATTTTCTATTATCATTCATTGTTAAAATTAACAGAATCGCATAATTTTACACTTTTGTGATCAGTTTGCATAATTTCCTAATTTTTTTTGTGTGCATAAAACCACGGGGACAGCTTTATTGAATATGTAGGAGGCCCTGTCAGTTTGATTATTTTTCATTTTGAAAAGGATGGACATTTTAACAGCCCTGTTGTGTGGGGGAATCAACGTGGATGAGAATGTGTGGATTCTTCTGTAGGAATCGTACATCAAAGTGTACCCAGACTATGTCTTCATGTAGGCCTTCACTCTGATCGAGTACAGAAATCAAACAGAATATATGGAAGCTCATGTCGTGCACACAATGGAATGGACCCAAGTTTATTAGGAACCAAAAAAAAAAAAATTACAAAATCAGCCCCAAAGTCATTCAATATATATGTTGAACGTTCTTATTTAATTAATAAAACAAATATTGTGAACATTTTTCAAAAGCTTAAAACAACGATTCATTAGCCAACATATTTCATGGGGTAGCAGCTCAACTATCATTTCTCTGGTTTTTCACATTTACCAGGAAGAGCAAAAAAACAAACATTTTTCGCCCCTAAATCCATCAAGAATAGGCTACTTGCAATTTAACTTCAAAAGGGTATTTTCACAAAATAAAAAACCATCACACAACTTTGAGCTTTTTACAGAGCAGGCTCACCACCTTCCCACTGCCTTGAAATATGTTTTTCAAACAAAAGTGATGGACACTGATTTTTGCCAAAACCCGACTTGCGACACTTGAGCTGCTACCCTGCCAGTTATGCCTTTCCAAAAACGTGAGATACCGGGGTTGACAAGTATAAGGACCAAAATCAAATTTAGGAAAAAACTCTAATTCTCCACATATGTAGCCCAATGATTGCTCTTACAGTAACTTACAGACCGACTTCCTGAACATGAGTATCCACAATTCCTTCACAACAACAACAATAACAATTATACTTAGAAATAGACAATTCTCCAGCTAAGCTGAGGTTTTATTCTAAAACATAATAATTTAGACAACATTTTTTTTTTTATTACAGAAATAATACAGGCAAAACCAATAAATTTAACTGATGAAATTGTTCCTGGCACACGTTCTGAACAAACCAGAAGCCAGAAGTAACATGATAATACCGTGAAGCCCGTCTAAAGTGAAGACGCTTTATTTGAACAATCGGTGAACGATATTCTGCGGTCCCGATTGAAACGCTATTTGTATTAAGTAAAAAAAATAGTGGATAAAATGAACCGGTTTCACGATGGGGGAATTGGATCAAATGAACGCCACAAAAGGAATGAAAGCAAAGAACGGACCGACTTTGTCACTGTCGCCAGGCTGTGAAAGTACATAATATAAATTATATATATATATGTAAAATTCTTTGCCTCTGGCATCGGCAGACAATCCCAGCTCGGCATTGGCGAACGCAATCTCAATCAGAAAGAAAGAGCTCTAGTCTAGGCTCGCCCGCTGTGTTGTCCCCCCACCCCACCTCCACCCTAGACCCACCACTGCGGGTAGCTACCGTCTCTAGGCCTCCACCCTACCACAAAGGTAAAAACTGAACCTGGGACAAAGTGAACACTTTCTCCTGGTCCCAAAGAGTTCACTTTAAGCATACTCCACAGTATAAGTGAACTACAAACTGTGTTTTTATTTTTATTATAGTAGAGAGTTTTACGGCGCTCGCAACTGCATAAGGTGATATGAGCGCCAAGGGGTGGGTGTCAACAGAGAAGTCCTTACAGGGAATCAGACTTACTCTGCTCACCTCTCTAGCTTCAACAGCACAAGGTCTGCTTCAACTATCAAGGCACCCCGGAAATAGCAGGTCACAAGAGAGTGACAAACATACAAAAGAAGTAGAGGAAAATGATAATACTTAAGGATTAGGAAAGAAAAAGCAGCAGTTCCCTGTTGTAGATCAGGCACAGTTATGGGCGTGACATGATGAATCAGCCCATTTACAATTCTACTGTGCTTGAACCAGAAATGTCCCCCCTTTGGGAATGGCCTAAAGACACTACAGTCAGTGGCACTGCCCCAGGGGTACAAGCTGAATAAATTTTCTTTGAAGAACATAGAGTATGTCATTGTTACAAATAAGTTAAAGGTTTTTCATAACCCTCATGACATAACAAATCGGATCATAACAAAGACGATTTACTTCAGTTTGGACCCAAAAATTAAAATACATGTACTAATAAGTCCTTCGCACAAAATACTTTCCAATAATGAGGCAAATTTCCACCTCAATTGGTCACTTTTAAGCAAAAGGGGGCTATCCCGAAGAAAGCAGCTTTGAGAAAATCGAAAGTACATTTTTTGGACCCTTGTTCAGTTTCCTTAAAAGACAAGGAGAGTTTTCTCTATAACCAAACAAATATATACACACCAATTAAACCAAACTTTTCCTATAGGTAGGGCAATGCCCACTGTTGGGAGTAGGTCAGGATTTCTGAAAAAACCCCGAAATCTGGGTTAGCCCGCTTGTCCTTAAAAGCGACCAATTCAAAGTATATTCACATTTAAAAGTCCTCTCAATTATATATGTAATGATTTGTTCAATACAAAGACGACAAACTTAAATTTGGGCTCTAAAAGTTATAATTGATGTGGCATTCTCATAAAACACAGCATTAAATTTCAAGAGTCTTAAGACTGTTTTCATGATATGCCCACACATACATATACACACAAAAAAACCCAACAAATATACACACACATACACACACAAACACATACAAACAAACACACACAAACACACACACCATCTTGAACAGGGACTCCTCCCAGAGACTCAGTGCGGTTTCCGGGCCAAACAGGGAACCACAGACATGATCTTTACTGCCCGCCAATTCCAGGAAAAATGCCAGGAGCAACACTTTGACTTATTCATGACCTTTGTGAATTTAACGAAGGCCTTCGACACTGTCAGCACAGAAGGACTGGGGTGGATCACGGAGAAGTACCGATGCCCAAGTAAGTTCATCACCATCGTCAGACAGCTTCACGATGGTGTAATGGTGAAGGTTCTAGAAGACGGAGACGAGTCAGACACCTTCCCTGTGACCAATGGCGTCAAACAAGGGTGCGTCCTTGCCCCAACTCTCTTCAGTACGGTATTTTCCGCCACATGGATGTTGAAATCAACAACAGAGTAGCCAAAGTCAGCTTCACCTTCAGGAGACTCCGCCAGAATGTCTGGGAGCGCAGAGAACTCAGTCTCTCCACAAAGCTGAAGGTGTACCGGGCGGCGGTTCTTACCATCCTACTTTACGCCAGCGAGACATAGACTGTCTACAGCAGACACGCTAAGCAGCTCAATCGACTCCACCTGAGCTGTCTCCGTAAAATCCTCCACATCAGATGGCAGGACAAAGCCCCAGACACGGATCTTCTAGAGCGGGCCGGAATCCCCAGGATCTACATCCTCCCCCAGAAAACGCGAGCCAGATGGGCCGGCCACGTGGTCAAAATGGTGGACAGCCAGTTGCCCAAACAGCTGATGTATGGAGAGCTGTTTCATGGCCATCTCTCAGTTGGAGGGCAGGAAAAAATGTTTTAAACACTGCCACAAAGTCTCACTAAAAGAACTGGGAATCCTGAACGCCTCGTGGGAAACACTGGCCCTAGATCGCCCCGCCCGGCGCTGCAAACTAACTAAGGGAGCCAAAGCAGCAGAGGCCAAGCACATCGCCGAAGCCACAAGAAAACGCAAAGTGGGCAAGTTCAAACCTGCCTCCACCACAATTTCAACACAAGACTACCAGTGCCCACACTGTGGGCGAAACTTCCGAGCCAGGTTAGGTCTTATCAGTCATCTCCAGACCCACCGTCACCGTCAAATAGACCAATTTGTCAAGTCATGGTTGTCTTCAAAGGCTAAGGACACACAACAGTCTTTTGCGATTCAGTAGACTTGAGCTACGTGCAAACATGGCACCACAAACGTCCCACGTACTTCGTCGCCAGAACCACGTACTATCGTAACCGACAAAAATGGGGTTTTGAGCTACGGTGGTTTAAAGTCTTGCGCAGTTTATTTTTCAAACCCTGTTGTGAATGAATGGAACATATATATATATTCTATAGATTTTTGGTTTGTATATAGAATCTATAGACTTTATGCCATATTTTCTGTCACTGCTTCAGAAAATCGATTTATTTAGTGAAAAATGACCACTTTTGTCATTTATGTTAGTATGTAGCGGTACAGTCCCTTACACTGCACAATACGTCGCTTACGATAGTTCGTGAAAACAAAACAAACGGCATAAAATATCAGTTATGTTATTTTATTATGAAGGAAAAAAGCATGGTGATCCATTTTACCAGTATTTACTGGTGCATGAGTTTCGCAAAAGGATGAATTGAATAAGTGAACAGCCTTGCAACTTTGAAAATAGGCAAAACAAAATAGACCGGGAGCATTTTATGATTTATGGGCGTCACTTTGCAAGTTTGAGAGAGAGGGAGCGAGGCAGAGAGTGAGAGAGAGGCAGAGAGAGAGAGAGAGAGAGAGAGAGAGAGAGAGAGAGAGAAAGAGAGACGCAGGGGGAGGGAAAGTAGAGAGAGATGGGGGGAGGGGGA